CCCCAAAACCCCAAAACCCCAAAACCCCAAAACCCCTTTTAATTAATAAAATTTAGTTCAAAAATGAGTAGAGAAGAAAGTTTTGTGACGAGAGTGCTCAAGAGTTGAGATATGTACAAGAAACTCCCAAATGATTTATATGAAGAGACAAGGTCAAATAACACTTCTAGAGTGATAATTATTTTCATAATTGTCATTCTATGTTTCTCTGAGCTATCTATGTACTTGAATCCAGAATTTGCGTCAGATTTGCAAGTTGACATTAGCAAACAGTCTGAATAAAAATCAATATTAATATCGATATTGATCTACCAAAGCTGCCATGCCACATAATATCTATAGATATAGAAGATGTAATAGGCTCTCACAGCATCGATCTAGAAGGAACTCTTAAGAAAAGGGTTCTGGATAAGGATGGGAAAGTGCTTGAGGTAATTGATCCAAACAACAGAGATCATGACACAGAAACAGTTGTTAGGAAAACAATAGAGGATATGGATATGAACAAAGGCTGCAATCTCAAGGGAACTCTCATTGTCAACAAGATTAATGGAAATTTCCACATCTCTTCTCATGCTTATGGGGAAGCAGTGAGAATGTTAATAGCCAAAAAGAGGCTTTTAGATTTTGAGCATCAAATTAATCATCTCAGCTTTGGTGCTGAAGATCATATTTCAAAAATAACGCAGCTTACTGGAGGGTACAACTTATCCCCTTTGGATAAGGTAGGGGAATCAATTCATCCAACGAACAAAGCAGGCCACATGCATCATACCCATACGGTGTACTACTTGGATATAATGGCTACGAAATACTATATCGGAGCTGAAGATGAGTATTCTGCTCATGAATATACCTTTTCAATGCAGACAAAGAATACACATGGATTTCCAGCAATATTTTTTAAATTCGAACTCTCTCCGTTGTTCATCAATTACAGAGTAACAGAGAATGCCTTCATAATTTTCTTCATTAGATGTTGAGCCATTATTGGAGGTGTTCACACAATTTCAGGAATATTCAAAATTTTGAGGTCTAATTCCCAAAAATCGAAAGAGAAAAGCTACAGGAAGGCTTACAATAACATAGAGGACACCTCACTCGATTCTAGTGTTACCTAATGACCTCTATGACAGTTAATTTTTCGAGAAAGTTCTTTATATTTATGTAAAACCCTACAAAGAAGGGGTTTTGGGGTTTTGGGGTTTTGGGG